GAAATTTATGGGTCATGAAAGTAGGCTATTAAAGAAATTAATGAGTCATGTAATTCATTCTGGTGACTTTCAGGGGAAATTCATGGGTCATGAAAGTAGACTTGAAGAAATTAATGGGTCATGAAAGTTGGCTTTTAAAGAAATTAATGGGTCAGGGAATTCATTCTAGTGCCTTTCAGGGGAAATTCATGGGTCATGAAAGTAGACTTAAAAGAAATTCATGGGTCATGAAAAAAAATTCCCCTAATTCATGGAAAATTCAGGGCTTGAAATAACCCCATGAATTTTCATTTTGCAGTATTCATGGGCCATGAAATGACTTTCATGGGTTTTTCACTAGAAATTCATGGAATTTTCATAAAACTACAGTTCATAGTGATTATCCAATGATCCAGTTTTTAATAATAACTAATATTTATATTGCACAAAATACATGTAAAACATGATCAAATGCACATTTTACCCAAAAGAAGCACTGTCTTGCAGGATGTGCTATTTTGCCAGCTGCCAACCTATGATGTGCCATCGAGAAAGCTCTCAGTGCCTCAGTGGGCACCCAGAGGCCTCTAAAAACTGTGTAGATCATTTCTTCAAACAAATATAAAGTGATAAGTTCTTTACAAAAAGCAATCAGTCTCATAAGAATAAAAACTTACAAAGTATTGCTCTCAGGGATGCAGTTGTGGGACAATCAGTCAACATGCTTGTTTGGGAGAAAAAAATTGTCAATTTCTATGTTAAGTTTAGTGCTGAGCAAAACTACCAAGTTGTCTCTGCACATGCTCCTTTGCACGGTATTGATGTTACAAAGGAATGATGCACAATCATGAACTTCACCTTCAATTCTATACAGGGATCGACTATCTCTAGTAACCTGTTTTATTAATTTGTACATCACCATCATTCTAACTTCCTCGCCGACCATCGTCAAATATCTAACTGATCTCGACGCAGAATAATCGAAAGGTTTTTGCAAAAAGTAAGAAAAACGTAATCACGAGCGATTCAGCGCGGATGAGAGAATTGCCTTTTTTCATGCGCCGTGATTGCGTGCCGGCGTTGGTTATAACAACATCAAAGTCAACACAGGTAATCGAGTTCACGTGCCTCGAGGCCTAGGTACCATAGGCAAAGTTTCTTAGGTGAAAGGTCCTTACGATTTGATTCTCACATACCTACTTCCCCACAATGATAGTTTCAATAAGTCTGTCGATGTAAGGCCAAACCACTCTCAATCTTAATACAATTTATGTTATGTTGGACAGTTTTTAATTTTGTAGAAATTTACATGCTTACAAGACGATAGTATATAATTAGAAACTGCATTCATTCGATACACTTGTTGCAAATTTTAAGCATCCACAAATTCAAAACTAGCGGTCTACTGAATTCGACTCGCGCAAATCTTTATCATCGATCTGATCAGGGCAGGAGTTTGAGTTTCAAATTGGAAAAGACGATCATTTCGTGTTATTTATTCATATATATATATACGTCCTCTGAAATTTGCATTAGTATTCTTCTATTGTTATATATCACATGACGGTCATAAAGTTTTCACATTTAGTTCAGGCCTCCTGCCTTCGTGCCTCCATCTCTTGCTTCTTCTCTTCCCTCATTGCCTCAGTCCTTACTCTTCAGTTTATTTCATTTTGAGTTCGTTGAGCAACTCTTCTTCTTTTAAGCTTACTTTGTGCTTTAAATGCGGCTCTCTCCTTCATTGTTTGACTGCTTCCCCTGCTTGCCTGTCCTCTAACCTCTATACTTCCCTGTTTGCTGCTCTCAACTGCTCACTCGCCCGCAGTCGGGAGTGCTCTTCAGTTCTTTTTATACAAAATTCAGTTTCAGCTCAAGCGTGTCAATTCTTTGGTTACTATTAAGGAATTTGATATTAAATGATAATTTGACAATCCATTTATAGACAGATAGATAAATATAGTATAGATATAGATAGATATACACCCCTTTTCAAAATGCTGCAAATTTGAAAATACATATAAAAGATATGTACCTTTTTTTTCTCATCGAAAAGAGACACTTTTTGATATACTTATATTCATCGATTAGGCGTTTTCTTTCTGCGATTTTTGAGATGATGTTGAGCTATGCATGGGGAGTATTTCTTGTGTTGTTGTTGATTTTTCTTATCACCATATTCTCAGGAGGACGTTTGCACTAATATAAAGAAAAGAGCCCAGCGGATTTGCGGACAGGATGTCAACATCCCCCCTTTTTCAGGCTTTAGCAAGCAAGTAGCCAACACCATTCAAGAGCTGGAGAAGAGCATCTTTTTCTAATTGATGTACTCAACTCTTGACTGTGTGCAGAGGAAGGTTTTTTTTTTTAGTAACCTGATAGATCATTACACAAGAAAAAGTCTCTAAAGTGGGTATTGCTAGCAGTCTGTTCTCTGAGATTCTGTTTCAAATCTCAGTGGTTAACGTTCCTATGGAAAAGTAGAAATCTAGTAGTCGTAGCTTGAGTATGCAGTTGGAGGAGGAAAACCAACTGACATTGATAGTCTGGAAGGTACCAAGTACGATTGCAATGTTTTCTTGTGTAATGGTCTCCTCTTTTTTAAAAAAACAAAAAAAAAATAGAGGAAATGTGATGGTAAACGAAGTAAGATGCAAAAATCAAAAACGAAAAATATCAAAAAGGAAAAAAATATGAAAAATAAGTCACAAAGTTCGAGTAAAAAAGTGACTCAGTGTACTCAAGTACAGTACATTAGAGATGCAAAAACGTTTGTTGCAAAAGGCAACTCTAATTTGCTACACTGTACAAGTACAGGAGAAGATTATCTCTTGAAAATCAAGAGTTCTGTATTCCAAAGTACAGCTATGAAGCGATAAGCAAAGGAATACTGAAAAAAATATTGAATTCGAAGTTACAAAAAAGCACATGACGCATCAGAGAAAAAAAATTGTGGCGGTTAAAAAAAAAACACTCTTGTCAGAGAAACAAAAAAAAAAAAAAAGAAAAAATCCAATAAAGTTTACCATTTTTATTCCTTTAACCTGTGCCTAGTGGTTTGTGTGTCTACCAAGCACACAAGGGTAAAATGTCCAGACGGGTAATGGGAATTGATTCCAAGCGAGTCAGCCTTCATGGAAAGATTCTGTCACTGAATAAGAAGGTACGTTTCGTGTTTGAAACTATAGAGGCGTCAATGATGCAATGGTCTGGGTCTGAGGCGTAGCCCTGGTCCTGTCAATGCGCATGTGTTGTGTCTTAACCAACTCCCGCTGTGTCCCTCTCCACCCTAATTATCACTCCTCAAATGTCGTGCTTTCACGAGCTAGGAACACTTATCCCCACGCTTAAGTTGAAGGACCAAATTTTAGATAGAGTAGATAAGTTTAAGTTGTTGGGTACCTGGTTAGCTGAAGATCTTAAATGGACACACCATGTGAATCAGGTCACGTCTTCGTGCTACAAAGTATTGTCCACTTTGTGCCAGATAAAAAATATGACCCCACAAGACATCGAGAAGTCGTTAGCGCAAAGTCTCGTTCTATCCAAGCTTAACTTCAATGACAGCGTGACGTACCCACTTCCGGCGTTCCTCCAGAAAAGAGTTCAGCCTGTGCAGAACGCTTCTGCAGGGTTTGTCCTGAACCGTTTTTGTAAGGAGAGTGACGTAGTGAGACTCGGCTGGCTACCAACGTTAGAGAATACTGAGCTCAACATTCTCAAGCTTGTGCACCGAGCCCTGCACAATAGCTCGTGGCCTGAAAATCTTAAACTAACGAGACACTTTACGCAGAGACATCTACGATAAGTAATGCTCCCCTCCTTCAAATCTCACTTGTCAAGGGAACATTCCAAGACTCAGCGGCTGACTTCTTCAATAAGCTGCCTGCACACTTAAGACTTTGTTCAGATTTTAATATATACATTCAAGAGAGAATGCTCTCGCATTTTAAGGACTAAAGCTTCGATTCGCATTAGTAGTGATTATAGACTAGAATATACTTATTGTACATGGATTTTATCCAGTTGATTTATTTTTTTATAATGTTGGTTTATATTTAGTTAGTTATTTTTATCTTTTTTTCTTTTTTATGCAGATGTATATCTACTCTGTAGATAAACTGCAGTAAGCCGTTATTATTATTATTATTATTATTATTATTATTATTATTATTATTAGAGTATAAATTAGCAGTAGTAAACTGCCCTGAAAGCCTGGTGAAATGTTGGAGCGTAGCCTGGATGAGATGAATTGACATCACTGTTTGTACATATCCAGGAGAGATAAGTTCAGAGAGGAAGGAAAAGAAACTTCTTACTGTTGTGCCACACGCATTGGACACATTTGCCCGAGTTGGAGACAGAGAGAATTATAAGACATTATTTTCTATTAAACGAGTGGTTATAACATTGGTTTGCTGCCGCTGTTTTGCCCGTGCGAAATATACTTCATTCGCTCACTTGCTAAGATTATTGAAATAATACAATCAGCAGTTGCAAGCGCCAATTCTTTTCATGTTCCAGAAATTATGCATTTATGGTGAGTTCTTCTGAAGGTAAGTTTCCTGAATCCAGTCCAACGCAATTATTAGTTTCTCAATGATTTAGTTTGAAATGTGTCTTAGTATAATCAATAGTTGGCTAGATACTATTTTGTTAAGTGCACGACCCCACAAGCTTTTTAGCTTTAATTCTTATCGTGTACAAATAAAGATTCTATTCTATTTTATTCTGTTCTATTCTACCTTTCGTTTGAATCGTCCAAAGTATAGTTCGGCGAGGGAATTAAAATTTTGTGCCAGAAATCATGAAAGCAAGTCGGTGAGAAGTGTTTCCTTAAGTTTCCGTTGTCTAGTGACTGTTCAAAGGGCTGCGTTATGAAATTTTGATGTCTCAGAGATCTCTTTTATCTTGATAGGCTAACTAAAATAGAAATTACATAGTTATAAGAGTGCCCGGATGTTTAGAGCGTTATATTGTCATGCGCACTTTCCCAATTCTTTGTCATATGATCATATCGCAAATGGCATCAACAACAGCCTCATCTAAAAACGAAACGATATCACCACCGTTCAGCATCATGAAATACCAGTATCCACCTGTTTTCAAAGATTTTCTCATCCACTTTGTCCAATCTCTGAACAGTTCAAATCGAGCAGCATTCGCGTTTTATTGCCAGGGTCTCATTCCGGGCTCCATGTTAGATGGCAATATGGCTACTGATGCTGAGTTGTTTGCATTAATCAAGTTTCTTCTGAGTTCTAATGAATTGTCTTTCACCAACATGTCACTGCTTAAAGAATTCCTCTCAAGTATTGGTCGTCATGATTTGCTGCAGGAGCTCAGAAAAGTAAAATTGCGAATCTCAGTTGGTCTCATTTTAGAAGATTATTTGAAGTTCAGATCCGTTGATGGCTTCCCCCAGAACACTGCATTGAAACCTGCTGAAAATCACGCCGACATCGTGAATCTACTACTTTCTACTGGAGCAGAAAATCGCGACCAGATAACACAAGTCCTTCGACAGTTTAAGTCACTTTGTTCAAATCGAAACTTTCTGAAGAAATTTACAAATGTCGCTCTTCTTGATTCCCAACTATCGTGGCCGATGGTTACCTCATCTTTGGTGATAATTGGTGAGCTGTATGCTTTCTTCACTCTCCATTCAAGAAGTTTCGAGGAAGGTTCTTATGTGTACTGGTTCTCCAAGACCAAGGCAAGCGAGTTGCTGTCAGATTGGATTTTTGAAAACGGGGGTTTAGTAAGTAAACCTAATCTAGATACGCTCATGCAATGAATATGTAGCTCCTTGAAACGTTAGTTTGTATACCACGAAGTAAGATGACCTGATCAGTCAAAAAATTTTACATTTTCACACATGCAAAGCATAGTGGCAGATCTTAATTGCGGTGGTTGTAAATCGTAGATTTGACTAGCTTTTATTCAGTGTGGACAAGTTTCAATTCACCAAAAAATTGATATTAAAGATGAAAAAAATAGGGGAAGTTTTAATGAGCGAGTTTTAACTATCATCTTTCTTTCTCTGTTCAATATTTACCCGTTTTCAAGGACAAACACTTGATTACACCATGGTTTTATAAAGTCAAACGTTTACTCCGTTATGCTCCGAAGACACCAATAATTATTTGGGCTTTCTATGCTACTGGAAATTGTGTTCGCCGATAATCTTCGGGTTAGAAACTTCCATAAATTGCAACATAACTTTCAAAACGCATGTTAAAAACGTTTCTTTGAGAAACATTTCGTTTTGCGGGAAGAGTAACTCAAATGCCTACAGGAGTTAACGTAAATTTTGCGCTTTTCGATGATTCTAGAAGACCGTTCGAGCAAATTAAAACTCCACTGATTTATTCACAAGCTCTAAATACACGGGCGTCATTTGCATGAAAAGACTAATCTCTGCATAAAATGTGAATGAGGTATTCTTGAAAGCCTACAAAGCAGTCAAACTTCTTTCTAAGCAAAACTTTTCGATAGCTTGCTCCTTTCTTTGAGTTAGAGAATATCAGTTTTTTTTCTTTGTTAAATGTCACCTCAAAACAACATGAATTCATGCTCAAATATCTTTTCTTTGTTTGCCAGAAAGTGTATAGAGAGTTCATCGAAGAAAAACAAGTAGCAACCATCAGTGGATTGGTGCCATCTTCCCTCAGAGAATCTTTGAAAGAAAATGTTTATCTGCTTGGAATTCGCATGAGTGTACCATCAAGAAATTAAGTTGATAATGTTGCTGACTTCTTTAACATGTTAAAAAACATTTTGTAACTGGCGATATGACTATAGGAGACTCCCCTCTTATGGACTGCCACCTTGCCGTGGTAGAGGGGCTTGTGCGTTTCAATGATCCTTAGAACTCAGCCGGCGGAGGCATGTGAGCCTCTGGTAGGTACAACCAAGCCGGACAGATCTAAGGGGAGAAACCAGACCAAAAGGCAGTCAAAATTCTCACTCTATGTCAAGTTATATCTTTTAAAAACAACGTCCTTTTTTTCATCGAAAAAAAAAATAAAAAAGATGTAAAGTCTGCAAAAATGTGAGATAATCCTACAAACGTGAAAATATGTGAAAATTAAATGAATGAAAATGATAATAAAGAAAGATCACCTCAAACGTATGCTAACGCCTTGAAGGTCCTTGAAGTTCGGAACATCATCATGCGACGACCCAATAGCGGTAATAAATATTTCTACCCTGGTTTCTAAAATATTGCCGAAGAATTTTTAGGAAATCTTTTAATTAATTCTCATGTTCTCGGACCTGAACTCTTTCTTGGAAATATAAGAATGGTTATGGAATCCATCATGGCGAAAAGGAAGTAAAACAGAAACATGATGAAAGAAGAGGGAAGGAAAGAAAACATCCTCAAAAATTCTTAAACAAATCAAACTACGATCATAGCCATGCTGAGTTTTCAAATATGATTGTTGGCTTTCTACTCGGAGTTATGCCTCTTTCATTCTATCGTATTCTTCAGAAAAAGCTTCCCTTCCTCAGCCTTTTTCTTACCTCTTGATTAATCGAAAAAAATTAAGGTAGCTCTAAACCTGAAGAACATAATTTTTTTTTCAAATACATTGCCAAACGAAAGTTGATGGGCTGATTAATAATGAATCATATGAGGTCTTCGTATTTGCCTTAAAGTCACGAGCACATCACGCTTAATTTAAGGGTGTTTAAGATCAGAGGATATAGAATTTTCATGTAAGGAAATGATCTCAGCTTGTTATACAATGTTAGGCATTTCTTTTGTTAGTATTAGCAAGTTGCTCAGGGAAACTAATAACTAGTTAGCTCAGAATAATGCCTAATATGGCATTTCCACGTCAGTTTCTGGTATAAATAAGATGTCTCATCTCTTTCTCTTTAGCCGCCATATTCATCTTCCACAGGATAAGACCTTTTAAGCAAAAACTGATATTTTTCATGTCTACTTTAATATCACTCGTGAATCAAGACTTGAGGCTAATATATAGAATTGAACTTGTTAAGATTTCTCAACATCTAACTCAAGAGCAATTCATAAGGCTCTTAAGTTTTTGCAAAGATTACATTCCGGAGAGTGATTCGAGTGGCTTCTCCATACCAGATGAAATTTTTGGGTGCTTGGAGGAAAAGGGAGTTATTTCGTACGAGAAAGTCAGCTTTCTGACGAAATTCGCCAACGCGATATGAAGGAGAGATCTCGGCGCCAACCTTACCAGATTTGAAATAACAAGAGAGCTGATAATCTACGCTTTGAACAGGCCAGGGTTAGAAGCTACTATTATTTCGTCGACCACAAGTCTGGGTCAGCATTTAGCCAAAATGATGGATGTTGTCCAAGATAGAGTTGATGCTCCAGTCCAAGGATTGTTCAGGTTCCTCCTTATGCCCGGACAAAATGTTTCCAACGTTCTGGACGTAATCATCGGTGATGTACTACCTGGCTAAGATATATCCAAAAGCTGGAATAGCCTGGCCTTGCGCTTCGCCACTGCGGCGGAAATTGTCTGGCTGGTCATCAGAGAGAACCAAGCGCAAGAGAATGGTACAAAGAATGCATTACAGGTCGCCAAAAAGCTGGCTAGTCATCTATTGTCTAAGATGGACAAATTTGAGATCTGGGTGAGAGGAATTTAACGTTAATTCCTCAAATATTCTTTACTTTTTAGTCTATGTAATTAAACTATTTCTAGTAGCTTACAAACTTTAATGTGAAATCGAAAGCTAAATTGGATCCGCTATTGTCAGTATGACGAACTGTCATGTGTTCGATGTCATCCAATCAGCTGTCAACGAAGGTTAAACAGTTCGTGTGCATAAGTTTTGAAACTGCATAAATGAGGTTTGAGTTGCCTTGCGGTTGCGTTGCCGAATCTTCTCACGATACTTACAGCCAACATTTTGTGAAACCAACAGAAAGAGACCATATAAAAGAAATTTCTATAAAATGGTTTGACCAGATAAAATCAACGTTTCTCTCCAGCATTCACTTAGATTATTTTTAAAAGAAACGTACACACGCAACGCAGTTCAAATTTTATGAGCATATCTTAATTTGTATGTTAATTCTTATCGATGCGAGAATGTTCTCCAGTTAAGGAACCTTTTAGGAACCTCGCCAATCCGCGATTTCTAGGCTTTTATCAGTGATTTATTACTTGCGCTGAATTTAAAGGGTTCTAAAGCTATGGAATTGGATTGCATACAGGGTGACTTGCAAACACGTGTGCATGGCTTGTTGGTTCGGTAGTTGAAATCACCAGAGCGAGAAATGTAATTGTCTACCGGTTAAAACATCTGCGTATTTTTAATCATTTGAGGGCTTTCCGGAGCTGGCGCTCGGGTTCACAAAAGGGACACCGCAAATAAATTTAATTTCAGTCAGCGTTTAGAGGGAGAGTAATGAAACAATATTTTTGTGGCCAGGAGGTTCCTCAACAGTTTATCAGTGTTGCGAGTTTATAAAACCAAATAAGTACGTTGGACACGAGCGTTGTGAGCTGTATTCGAACGATTACTCTTCATAACGAATTTTTTCTAAGACTGCAGAGTACCATATGTTGCCTTCGTTCGTCTCACTTTAGGAGAAGTTTTGCTCATTTGTCATGGAACGACACCAAGGATACTTTCGCGCGTCAGTTCCTGAACCAGTGCCTGACTTTCCATGGCAGTTAATGTTAGGCTTGATTGAGAAATTGAAGAATACCTTCTTCACTGAAAAATGAGGATAAGTATCATCCAGTTTAACGTAGTCATTGGTTTAATTTAGCAAATATTGAAGGGACAAAAAATCTAAGTAGTCAAGAAAAGAGTAGATATAGTGAACTGAAAGAGAGAAGTAGCTAATTCATTTTTCTCGCTATCTCAAATATTCACGCGTGGTGAACTTGAACAGAATTTTTTTCAAAGGATCTACGATTTACCCATTGGTCTTGGTCTTGGTCTTGGTCTGGGTCTGAGTCTGAGTCTGGTATGCATGTGAGCAGTACAAATTTGCATATTGATCATTTTTATGATTTTATCCCCAGGTTCGCTGAGTCGAGAACCGTTTGAACATACAACAAACAAGGAAGTGATGTCTCAATTTTGGACACCAACTTCCAACTAACAGACATGTGGTTACTTCTCGAGAACCAGTTGGCAAACTTATTGCAACAAAAGTTGCAATACAATCGTACCATACAATCGTAGCTCATGCTACACTCTAAAATGCTTGACTGTATTCAATGCTTTGAATAAAGCACAAACTGATATATATATCTCAGGATTTGTTCCTGAGGAAGATGAATATGGCGGCTCATTTGTGTTACAATACCGGCTCATGTTACCGCATTTGAGCACAAGGTAAGTCTTATATACATGCAATAAACTGGTGCTGGTTTCCATGCTCAATACCAATCAGACAAAAAAGACCAAAATGACCTAAAAGACCAATAGGGAAAGACCCAAAAATGATAAAAAAAGAAGTTATGTGGACATTTTTAGCAGTAGATATAAATTAGGCTTTAGAATTTCGCAGATCAAGCATAGATGCTTAACTCTCAAATGATACATGGTTATAGTCTAGTGGGAGTGTAGACTCAATGCTTTTATAGGTCTTTAAACAATTAGTGGTAGAACCTTGTTAAGAGAATTTTTATAGCTTTTTCGAAGAAGCTAATGCGTTCTCTTTTTTTAAGTCCCATGTAGAATAAACTTATGTTTGAAGCTTTTGTCTCGTAGATAACTTCAAAGGTAATCAGGTATTTTTTGTGTGTGGTATTTTGGCATTCGGTAAATACAGTTGAATTTTCTTCGATACTCTCTGTCGCGATGATAGTTTGGTAAAAGTTGTTCCATCCGACTAAAATACCTACAAATAAAAGGTTATAAACCGACAAAAAATTTTTTTGCGATCACCTCAAATCATCATGTCACATTTTGCCGGCCCGCTTTAGACGTCTCAGGGACACTTGTAGGAACATAAGGAATTATAGGACTGGAGTAGATTCTGTAATTCGGAGCAGTATTTCTGAATTGGGCATTCCGCGTAGTTCAGGATGGAGTGATGTCGTCCATAATTTCCTGATCCTCCAAACCTGTTCGTTGAAGGCAAAGGTTGATCCTGGTGCTCTCATATGCAATGTCTACAGTGGCGCTGAGTTGATTGATTTTATTATTGTCTCGAGGTAAGGTCCTGGGCTTATTATCACTCTCAT